AGAATCAAACACAGAACCATTTAACTGCTCAACTAAATGGAAACTATCTTTAATATAGCTGGGAGCTTTTGGAATACTGTCACTGATTACCTTTCTACTGAGTATCTTTTTACTTCTACCGTTAATTTATTATTACAATTTATACTTGCTAACAGAAACATGTTCGTCCTTATGCACACATACGGTTCGGAGGAGCACATTTTTGTCAACTATAATCGTTTGTTTGATTTTCTCTCAATTTGGAGCGAGCTTTATAGTTAATTTGCGTCCGAATGCGAATTTTACTTGATCTCTTATGTTTTTTATCTACGTTATAACTCTATTGTTAATTGTCGTTGTTAATTTACTTTGTCACATTAATTTATTTGTCACATTGAAAATGATCCAACTAGGATCGAAACGTTTGTTTTGTTCACCTTCTGATTGTCAAATTATATTTTACGTTTTTAATTTATGACATAGTTTTATTTCAAAAAAATTTTTTTAACTACTCATACAGTTTGTCAATTTATGTTTTACGCTCGTAGCCCTTTTTCCTTCTTACTTATTATAAATTATATTTTACGATTAAAACGATAATTTAAAAATATCATGCTTATATATTTCGATTTAGCGCAAAGGAAGCAGCTTGCAATGTTGGATCTTCTCATAGCGACATATCGTGAAGGTGTCATGACTGATTTAGAGATTAAACAGGAAGTTGACGCTATTATGTTTGGGGTATACATTTGTAATTTCTCGTCGTATTTTTAAATACAATATTTAATATACTAATGTTTATAATATGGTTATAGGGCCATGACACTACAGCGTCAAGTTTAAGCTTCATTTTGGCATTATTAGCTGAACACAAGGACATACAGGTATTTATCGTCAAATATAAGCTGTAACTTTTATACAAAAAAATTAGTTAATTCACTAACTCTAGGAATTATTTATTAAAACTGTATCAGTTTAAACATTTTAAATACTTTTTAATAGCGCGCGCGCGTGTGTGCGTGTAATGCGTGCGTGCGTGCGTGCACGTAATTCACTTTTCTATGTATCAATAAATGTTGATATACAAAACAAAAAGCACATACACACGTGTGCAATTCGTACATATATATAAATACATTTAAATAAGAAACGTATTTTTAATGATTAATAATACAGGATCGTGTCAGAAACGAAGTCGATATTGTTATGCAAGAGAATGAAAATAAATTAACTATGAAATTTTTGCATCAACTATCATATTTAGAAAGATGCATAAAAGAAGCTTTGCGCTTGCATAATGCCGCATTTTTCATATCACGCGTATGTGGAGAAGATGTAAAATTGCGTACGTATTAAACTCTTATTATATTTATAAATTTATTTTATTTTTAAATATATTATTCAATATCTTAGATAGCAAAGTAATGTTTCGAAAATATTGTTATTAAATGTAGCTTTGTAGATATATAAGAACTAAGCAATGCAATTCCATTTCAAAAATTCAAAAATTTCTATGTTTTTATTAATTGAAAATTTAAAATTAAAATAATTATTACATTTTTCATTCAAACAAATTTGTAAACACTCATTCCTGCCTTAAATAGATACTCAATTTAAATTTTCTTACGATGTTTTTAATTATTATTTATAAAATTTATTTTATAATATGCTTTTTAGAGTCATATTTAATACCTGCTGGCACCATCCTGCATATCGATATTCACGGAACCCACACAGATCCCAATTTTTGGCCAAATCCAGAGGTATTTGATCCTGATAGATTTTTGCCCGAGAAGAGCCAAAATCGTCACCCTTACTCATATATACCATTCAGTGCTGGACCACGTAATTGTATCGGTAAGCTATAATTTTACAAG